AACAACGTCAGCCAGGGGAGTGGTCGACACATGTCTGTCCGCCTCTCCCGTATCATGAGCTGGTCTAGCACTTTCCACGGGTGGGAAAGGGGCGCGACCTTGCACCGCTGGGATGCAAGGTCGTGCGATGGACCGATGCCCGCGGTAGCACTGCGAGGGGATCAAGGGCGCAGACAACAATAACGGAGCGGCGCAAAGCCAGGGGTGCCTCAGCCGGCTGGCACGACCCACCGATGAGCGGCAGCAGCTGGAGCGCGCTCTCCGCGGCACCGGTGGCGATCAGCAGCTGCAGCAGCATGTAGAGCGCGGCCGGGTGGCCGGGCTGCAGCAGCAGCGCCCGCCGCAGCGCCGCCTCGGCCGCCGCCAGCTCGCCACGGTCGCGCAGGCGCGCGACACGTTGCGCAGTAGGCGGCCGGCTGCGTCAGACTGGGGATGGCTGCCGGTGGTGAGCAGCGGCGAGGGGACCCCGGGACGAGAGCCGTAACAGGCTGGAGTTGAACGGTGTCGCGGTTCACGTCAGTCACCCTCCACACGAACGTTACAGGACACACCCTGCTTAAGAGTTGACTTAAGGTCTCATGGTACACGAGGATCACGAGCTGCCTAGTGCCAGAAGTCACGTGGGGTCAGAATAGAATGCTACACGTGTCCACCCCGGCGGGAAGACAAGCCTGACAAACATGAGCAGCGCTGGCTCGACAAGTACGGGCCCGCCTGACTTACGGTGAGCTGAACGGTGTTCGCCCCGCGGTCGTGCTGTTACCGAGTCCGTGTAGGTCGGCGAGCCGCAGCAGCAGCTGCTCGGCTGGCTCCGACTGGCCGGCCCTGCATCAGTGTCCGCGGCGCGGCCCTCCAGCGCCGCCACCAGACCCGCCAGCAGCCGGCCGTCTGCGAATGTCGGCCCGCCCTCACTGATGGAGACACGCGAGTTTGGCGACGGGCATGGCGCAGAACAGATGTTCATGGGACCGGCTACCGTCACTGGCCACTACGGCCTACCATCACTGGACCACTACCGGCTGATCCGTCACTGGACCACTACCGGCTACCGTCACTGGACCACCACAGGCTACCGTCACTGGACCACTATCGGCTGCCGGCAATGGACCACTACGGCTGCCGGCACTGGACCACCACAGGCTACCGTCACTGGACCACTATCGGCTGCGGCACTGGACTACTACCGGCTGCCGGCACTGGACCACCACAGGCTACCGTCACTGGACCACTACCGGCTGCCGTCACTGGACCACTACCGGCTGCCGTCACTGGACCACTACCGGCTACCGTCACTGGCCCACCACAGGCCCTCGTCACTGGACCACTACCGGCTACCGTCACTGGACCACTACGGGCTATCGTCATTGGACCACTACCGGCTACCGTCACTGGATCACCACGGGCTACCGTCACTGGATCACTAACGGCCATCGTCACAGGATTACCGCTGTCCAGTCACTGGACCACTGCTGTCCACGGTCATTGGACCACCACTGGCCGCAGTCACTGCACCACCACTGGCCGCAGGCACTATACCACCACTGGCTGCAGGTACTGGACCACCACTGGCTGCAGGAACTGGACCACCACTGGCTGCGGCACTGGACCACCACTGGCTGCAGGCACTGGACCACCACTGGCTGCAGGCACTGGACCACCACTGGCTGCAGGCACTGGACCACCACTGGCTGCAGGCACTGGACCACCACTGGCTGCAGGCACTGGACCACCACTGGCTGCAGGCACTGGACCACCACTGGCTGCAGGCACTGGACCACCACTGGCTGCAGGCACTGGACCACCGCTGGTCGCCGCCAGACAACAGTCGCTTGGAACGTCGTCAGTCGCCGCCATGCACGACCCGCTTGACGTCATTCGGCCGCCATCTGGGGCGGTCGGCCGCCGGCACCATCCGCATTGCCGACCACTGTCAGTACATCCGCACAAGTAGAATGTCGGACGTCTGGACGGCTGGGTAATACCACGTAATGTGGCAGCTTACAATGTCACCGGCAGCGCAAACGTGAAAGGCTGGAATTGACGCCGAACGAAATTTACAAAGACATGCTGCGGGAGCCATCCTGCAACCAATTGCTACACATCAAAATCCGCCTCCAGTTAGCATCGCGCCCTCTTCTTTAGCATCGAAGTCGGCTGACCTCTGTCCGTTTCCTGCACTTCAGTCGCTCCTTTGTGGGCACCGCAGTTGGCTGACCGCTCTGATCGTCCCGTCTCTCAGTCGCTCCCTGTGGGCCCCGCGGCTGGCTGACCGCTTGATCGTCCCGTCCTTAGTCGCTCCCTGTGGGTCCCGCAGTGGCTGACGCTCTGATCGTCCCGTCCCTAGTCGCTCCCCTGTGGGCCCCGCAGTCAGCTGACTGTTCTGGTCGTCCCGTCCCTCAGTCGCTCCCCTGTGGGCCCGGCGCGCGCATTAGCGGCTAACCTCTGAGCCCTTCCGGCTGGGCGCATACTGGGCGAGGCAGCGCAGAGCCTCCTCGGGGCGCTCCAGCCGCAGCAGCAGGTGGACACTGCGCCGGCAGACGGCGCCGCTGCCGCCGCGGTGCTCGGCCGCCCGACGCAGCACGCTCAGCGCCTCCTCGGGCCGCCCGTGCCGGCCCAGCAGGTCCGACAGCTGGGGGACAGAGGCGCGTCCCTAAGTGGTGGCCTCACACGGCACTACCCGGCGGCATGCCGCAGTGAAGGATCACGGTGTTGCCATCGCACATGATTACGTGGTGCCAATTTTCCCCCTTTTATTAACGAAAGCCTTTTCACATGGTCCGTGACGCGAGCCAGAGGGAAAGCCGACACAGCGTTTCTCTCCGTGGACTTCCCGCATCAACTGAAGCCCATTGGTGGCGCCGCAGCGGGTCGCACAGATTCCACCGCGGCGAAGACTGCACGCGAGAGCACCGGCCAGCGGGGCCGCCCGTTCGGACGGCACGGCGCCGGGCGGCGAGCCTGACCCGGACGAAGTCGGCTTGCTCCTGACACCAGTCGGTGGCGTCCCTGGACACAGTGCTTTGCAGCGGCTGGGTCGGGTCGTCAGCACGCACCCCGCGGCGCAGCTCGCACGTCAGGATCAGCAGGCGCAGCGTCAGGCTCGCACCCTCTGCAACCACACAGGCGGGTATGTACCGAGCGTACTCGACTGACGCTGGCAAATCACTGGAGGATCTTTGGGGGGCAGTGCAGCGAATCGCAAGGTATTCGTGGTAATACTTGTAATTGGAAATTATTTGCAATTGGAACAAATCTTCTTCTGCGGTTTGACAGCCTCTCAACGCATGCCAGCATATGTAGTATAGATATAAGCCAATTTGCTGATTGGGAAAGTGCCACGAGTCGCTTCAAGTCTTTGAGGGATTCGGAGAGTATCAAGAGATGAGCTTGCAGTTATCGGGCGGCTGATGTGATCGGGCTGACGGGGCCTGACCTGAGAAGGCCAAGCTGGAGCAGCTGCCTGGCCCGGTTCCAGGTCGCCGTCCTCGCCTCGGATCATGTGACACCGGGCCAGCAGCTCGAGCGTGCGGGCCCGCAGGTCAGCTGGGCCACTGCGCACGGAGCAGACCTTGCCCTGCGACAAGGGGGGGGGTGGGGAGGGGTAGCGCCAGCCGGTCACGGGGGAGGGGGGGCGGGGGTAGTCTCACAGGCGCTGAGGCCGGCTCAGCGTCGCATCGGGGTGAAGGACAAGACGCTTGGCGTTTTGATCGATGAATCGTGACGGGTTTGGCTGCATGTCCCTGTTGGTTATTCCACTGTCCCCTTTTGTCTCTGTCGTAGTGGACACCACGAACACTGCACATTGACTGTAAGTCACGTTAGCATAATGATTTGCACGGGAGAGGACACCAGACATGTGCGGTTGAATATAAAGCCACATATTAAACGAGCGGGGGTCGGCTGGCACCGTCGCCATTTCACTGTTTTATGAGATGCACGTCGAACTGCGCATCGAAGACGCTTCAGGGTTCCAACTTAATCATCATATGACGAGCGTTCCAACACACAAAACATGTTCAAGTCGGCGGCCCCTGGAACGACCTCCAACCTATTTCCAGGCTCCGGCTGAGCCAGTGAACGGCCTGCGTCCAGCCGCGCCCCTTGTACCGCTGTAGTCCGAAATTGAAGAGCAGCAGCTGCATGTACTGCAGCTGCTCGGCGCTGGCGTCGCGCGCTCCACCCGCCTCTCGGGCGGCCTCGTCTGCTCCAGACCAATCCTCGGCCAGGAACAGCGCCTCGGCGCGCACCATCAGACAGCCGAAGCGGGCCTGCTCGAGAGCCGCACAGCTGCCGCAGCGTGTCGGCGCGCCGCGAGAACGTCGCCAGCTGGCTCTCGGCGGCGGTGCGGCGCGCCAGCAGGTTCGCGCTGCGCCAGCCTCGAGCAGCACCAGCGCACGCGGCAGCTCGCCGGCGGCAACCCGCTGCCGGGCGGCCGTCAGCAGCACCTGAGTAACGCCGTCCAGCGGGAAGCGGCACCGTCAGCAGCAGCAGCACGTCGGCGGCCAGCTGTCGGCTGAGCCGGGCCGTCAGCTCGGCCAGCGGCTGATGCAGCGGCAGGTTCCAGAGTCGGCAGACGAGCTGCTGCGCTAGACAAGTGCTGTCAGGCCTCGTGCGGTATGGAGAGCACCGGTCGCAGGTGGTCGGCCAGGCGAGTCAGCAAGTCAGTGTAGTCGTCGTCCGGGCCAGGGTCATCGCATGCTGCCAGCTCGCCCACGCATCGCTGCAGGGCCGGCAGCACGAGAGACTCGCGATCTTCCTCCATGACAAACCTCTGGCTGGCAATAGGCGTAATAATGAATCAATGTTACAAATTCCTCAGAAACCGAACGTCACAGTACTGAATGGGATCAAGGAACACTTTGGAATGGAACCCGATTTCAACAGATCGCGCCGACCGACCGCGAACCGCGCAGCAACCAGAGCCTGACAGGCAGTCCGCGCACCCTTGGGAGTTTGTTTTGTTTTGTTTGGGTTCGGTAGTTCGCCGCAGCTGCGCCTGTTTCACCTTCGATTGCATGTATTGCAGCTGTCTTGTGCACTGGCTGCAAGCCCGTTGAGTGAAACTGCAGGAAAATTGTGGTTCGGAAAGCTGTTTCCGGTTTGTAAAGCGCATCACCATATTTGGATGTGAATGCTTGTTTGGTGCACACTTATTGCACATTGCTGGAGTATCCCAATTATCTGAGTTTGTTCTTTTAAGGTGTTCGGTGGTCTAAACGCTGGTTTTGCCTTTGTAAATAGGGATGAATTTAATGCTGTTGGATATGCTGGTGAACGGTAGATGAGATATGTGAATTTCTTGCCCTTTTTATGGTTATGCTGTTCCTCTTCTTGTGGTGTGGCTGACATGTAATGAGGTCAGGCAGCCAGAATGTTGCCTGGTTGTCAGAGTTGTGAGGGCACTGCTAGTACCCAGGCTGCAATACATGAATGCCTTGGTTTTTCCCAGTTGGCCATATCTTCAAGTGATAATTTATAGTTATTGTTGCAAGTCCATAGACTTCAAGTCTCTGAATTCAATGACAATATTGATAACTCCTGAAAAGGATCATTGAGGAGATTGAGCCTACCAGCATGTTACCTTTGAGTGAACTGTGGGGTGCTGAGGCAAACTTATTTCTGTGTTGTTTTGTTGCCAAGAGTATGCTTTTTAATCTGTACTTTGTGCATAGTTTGCCCTTAACATGTGCTCAATGGAAGGCGGCCAGTGGTATACCACTTGGTACCTTGGTGGTCTACTGCATGGTGGGTGGTACCTGCAGCATAGTGGGAGTGGATGATCAGAGGTTCCAGGTGTTTGAGAGCCATGTGCATTGAGATGTTTTGTAGAACTCAGCTTTCTTGCTCATTCAGGAAAAGTATAAAAAATTGGAATTGTGATCTAACCTCTGTCTGAGCTTTCCTGGTGTTTCCAGGGTAGGGAGCCGCGAACAGCCGGGCTCTAATGGAGGTCTGCACCCCACAAGGTGTTGCACCAGTTTCCCACTAAAAGATAATGTTTCCTTCAGATCTTTCAAACATGCTTCCAACATGAACATTTGGTGGCCATCATGCAGCTTGAGCACATTGGCAATACTTCTTTCATTGTGCCTCTCACATGCCCAAAACACTGAAGAGGCATGCCCTTTGACATCTGGAGAGGAGTGCATTGTCAATTTGCATGGAAAGTCGGGGGATGGATACTACACAGAAATCATCATCGGAACACCACCACAGAAGGTAACAAATATTAGTCATGTGTTGGTCTTTGCAGTTGACAAGTTTGATCATTCTTTTAGATGAACACAGTCTTGGACACAATATGCACCCAAGGTTTGGCATGCATATCTCTCACTTAACCACAAGCTTTGTGTGCAGGTGTGCTTTCTTGAAATGAAAAGTCTGACCATGAGCCAGTATTGTTGAGCTAGCTGTGCTCAAGTTTGTCTAGACTGAATATGTTGTGACATGCCATTTGCCATTTCAGCTGAAGGCACTTATTGACACTGGGAGCAGTAATGTGGCCATTGCTGCATTGCCACATCCCCAGATCTCCAAATTCTTCAACCAAACCCATGTAAGTTTGTCCGTGATTGAATACATGCCACAGCAACAGTCTGACACCACACTGTAGAGGGCTGTGGATTGTTCATGAGGGTATGGGACAATCATAGCTCTTACTTCAAAAGCTCTTGTTTATGGCAGGTTCAAGGCTTTTTATGCTTGATTGTGCGTTTAGAGCTAGAACAGAGCATGAATTATGAACTGCCAGCAAATGATGCACCTCCTGAGCTGACCATTGCTGCAGACCGGGCGGCGCTGCGGCCACAGCACGTGTCCATTTCGCCGTCTGCCCACCCCGCCCTGCGTCCCTGCAGCGCCGTCCTCTGCCGCAGATCGGGCACGCTGCGGCCACAGCACGGTCCATGATCGCCCGCCCGTCGGCCCACCCGCCCTGCGTGCCTCCAGCGCCGCCCTCATGCCGCAGATCGAGCACGCTGCGGCCGCTGCACGCGTCCGTGATCGCCCCCCGTCCCCCTACGTCCTTTGCGTCCCTCCAGCGCCGCCCTCTGCCGCAGATCAAGCACGCTGCGGCCGCTGCACGCGTCCATGGTCCGCCCGTCTGCCCACCCGCCCTGCGTCCCCTCCAGCGCAGCCCTCTGCCGCAGATCGAGGACGCTGCGGGGACACGCTGCACGTGTCCGTGGACGTGCCGTATTCGCAAGGCTCGTGGCGGGCTTGCATGGTCAGCGACGTGGTCCGCCTGCCGGAGACGAACGCGCCGACGGTTACGCTGCGACAGTGGCGCTCATCAAGCACTCACAAAACTTCTACATCAACGGCTCCGAGTGGCAGGGTGCGCGACCGCTAACGGCCCCCAGCCAGGCTTCTGGCCGGACTGGTTCCTGGGGAGGGTGCTGAGCCAGCGGCCATATGTACGAGCTGGTCTGGTAGGCTGATGTTTTTTTTCGACGGTGACTCAAACACTGATCTCCTGTCCGGTGTACTTCTGACTGTTTCGTTGCACGTATATTGTACGACTGCTGACATGACAATTGTGCGTGCCTTCCACAGCTGTCAAGGCGTGGTTAGTTTTTTTTCTCAATGAGGTTTGCATGTGTTGATCAGTAATCGTTCCAATATCCGAGTAGGCTGCCGCCCAAAGCGTTAACCTGATCACCCCGCTCTATCCGTCTCCTCGCCTCTTCACGTCATCACCTGGCCGCAGGGCATCGTGGGTCTGGCGTTCAAGCCGATCGCGCTGCCCAACTCGTCGGTGGCGACGTGGCTGGACGCGGCGCAGCACGTGCGGCTGGGCCAGCTGGGCTCCGTCTCGGTGGCGCTCTGCGGCCCCGGCCCCACCGGTCGACACCACGGCTACATGGAGTTCGGTGAGCCGCCGGTGCACGGCACGAGGAGCCACCCGTGGGGGTGGCGCCGAGGGAGTTCCGCAGGCGGTTGTGGGAGGTGAACGAATCGCGTTTAGTTTTGCGAGTCCAGCAGCGGTTGCAAAACAAAGGGAGGGGGTGCGGGTTAGCGGTACGTTGAAAATGTCGATGCTCGGTGTTAATAGCAAGCCAAGGTTAGCAACTTCATGATGATCGGATGATTGGGTAGGTTTGAGGCTCGTCGATTTTTTTCTATAATTTTGATGACATTTTGATAGGCAGCTGAGTGGTGGTTGTTTGGCATGCGAGGTGCGTTGTCTGCGTTTAATAGACTGTCGTGTTGCAGCTGCACTTCTCAGCGTAAAATATGTGGTTCTTATTATGCCCCGCGACATCTATCTCCGCGTTGCTGAACTGTTGGTTGCTGTGTTCCGGCCGTCCTCTCTAAAGCCTTGCTTATGACCTGAATTTAAGCCATGCTTTGCCTTCTTTGTGTGGCTGCAGCAGTCTCAGTTAAAGGGGTTTGTGTCATAGTCCGTCGTGCTGACGCCCAGCTGGCCCAGCGTTAGTTGGAAGGTATGAATAGAGCGTAGTGTTAATCAGAAATCGCACCCAAAACTGAAGGATTCGACACAATGCGTGCTGTTGTTTCCTCTTAAATGCTCGGTCGGAAGAAGACTACTTTCCAACGGCTCACACGCTGATGAGATGAGACCTGAGCCGACCTTGCCTGACTTAACTCAGGTAAGGTTAATTCTTTCCTGAGTTAGGCCATCGATGAGTTATCGGCGGGATCTTCCCCTGCTGATGAGTCCAGGTGAGCCTGCGCGCCACCCTGGACCTGACCCAACCCCTCGTCGTGTGTGACCTCGCTCCGTGCTGCGGACCAGGCGAGACGCGGCGGGCCCTGCTGGCCAGCCGCTTCCACTCGGCCGCCATCTTCCGGTCGTGGTTCTACGAGATCCTCATCACCAACATGACGGTAGCCGGCCGGCGGCTAGCGCTGCCCTGCGTCGAGTTTAACACGGACAAGACCATCGTCGACACCGGCACCACTAACCTGCGGCTGCCAGAGAGGGTAGGATGCTATTTGTGAAGTGGGGCTGATGGGTGTGGGGCGAAGTAGCGACGGCCATTTAGGCAAAGCACAGTTGTTTGAGTGTATCGCCAACTTTCCGGTTGTGAGATATTTGTATGACTAGGAGAGCTAATGGGTTGACCCGGCTAATGGGGCCGTATTAAAACAAAACAGGGCCGTTAATGTTCTGCCCATGATTGGCTTGGGAAGAAGTGCATCGACGAGTTTACTTGGGGGACAATTTCAAGTTAATGCCTCGCTCCGCTTCAACGAAACGTCGTCAAGTGGCAGAACTCGCAACTGACCGGTCGCTGTTGCAGGTGTTCAGTGAAGTCATAGCAGTGGTGCAAGAGCAGGCCGCCTTCCTAGCAGACAGGGTCGCATACGTTCTGGACGGGCAAAGGGCGATTATGCTTCCCGACCGTGAAACGCCACCCACCCGTGGGACTTACTTCCCGAACATCCACGCTCTCGACTGCAGCCAACAAGACGGCTTCGTTCGACCTCACCGTCACGTCGCGGGTGCGCTGAGACCGCCGCATGAGCGGCCGACCGGGGCTCGACTCGGAGCGCTGCAGCTGGTGCCGATGCCGCCCGCAGAGTGCGACTGGCGAATCTGGAAAATTGCTGTCGTTTTCCTGGAAATAGGCATTTGCATGGTTTGAGACGGATGTCAAGGAGTTCGATTCTCTTGAGGCATGCGCCCGTCCTTCCTTCTTTAGTTCCAGACCTCCGATAATGTCATCCAGCGTCCTGTAATGAGTGTGCCCAAGTGCAAGAGAGCCAGCTGGAAACGGTTTGTAAGGTATCTAACTTTGTTCTAAGCTAATTAAACCGCTTTGCTACGGGAGGTTAACGAGCGGGCCCGATATTCGCCGACAGAGGTACCCATTTCCGACGAGGCTCAATCACGCGCTCGAGCTCGCGCCACAAACGTGATCCCCGCGGGCATGCCCGACCTGTTCCCATCAACCACTATGTCTCCTTCAAGGCTACCTGAGGGACGCCCTTTGGCTAAAAGACTCCCGACTGAGTGATCCGTTTGAGACCGGCCCGGCATGCATCAGCTGAGCTCGTGGCTCCCCGGGGCGGCGTATCGGACCGGTCTGTTGCGGATGTATCCCTGGAGGGGCGCTCATCGCCCTGATCCGCTTCAGAGCTACCTCCGGGAGGCGTTCGACGGTCCGGCCGGCAACGAGCGCTGCTTCAAGCTCGGCATTGACTCGTCCACGACGGGCTCCGTCCTTGGTATGGCTCCCCGCGGCGCAGAAAAGTCTAGCGTGGCCTCGTGGAGGGCGGGTGGAGACGGGACGACGGCGAGGGAGGGCCGTATGGTCTGCGGGTTATTATTAGGCCATGTGGTGTAATGCATTGGCAGTGTGTTGCCTCGAATCGGTCGTTATCCAGGCGTTGCCGAGCCTAGGCAGAAATAACGGACACTTGTAGTAATTGATTGCATGGCTATTTACTCAAGCCCCATTATAACAAGACCTACATGTGCCGTGCGGTTTTGTGGTAACTTACGTTTCCTTTGTTCTACATCTCTCCAGAATGTGCAATATTTTTTACATGATCACCCTCGTGTTATGACGGCACACATAAACCCAAGCCTTGGGTTACATCCATGCCTGATCAGCTGGACGGTGACCCGAGCGCCATACATCCGTGACCCGGCCGTGACCTGGCCGGCGGCCCGTCCCTTGCTCTGCCCGTACCCGGCGCGGCCAGTTGCTGCGACGGCCGCCGAAGCCTCCACCGTCCGGCGCGCCCCAGGTGTGGTCGTCCTCGAGGGCCTGTACGTGCGCTTCAAACTGCACACGCGCACAGTTGAACCTGGCCCGCTCCGTGTGCGGCCCGGCAGGGTGACGCTCGGGGGACCGCAAGCCACCGCAGGTACGATCAGGCAGCCTCCCGGGCCGCTGCAGCGGCGCCGTCACGCGCACCGCACGCGTCACCCGCCGCCGGACTGGGCCGGGCGCGGCAGCGGGGGAGGGCGGCCGTGTGTGCCGGGTTTGGTGCGCCGGGTCGGGAGGCTGTATGTGCCGGGCGGACACGTCGGTGGATAGTTGTGGCGGGGGTTGATATCGGGGGACGTCGGCTGCACGGTGTCAGCGCTGCTTCAGTGCGGAACTATGGCCACTACTGCTGCCAGAACGTAATAACGCAGTACTTTCAATGGCTCTCATGCTAGTTTGCAAGGTGCGTTCACCTGCACCAGAACAGTTTGTTCTCTCTGTATCGGTGGGAGTTGAGGCGCTTCAGGTGATAAAAGCCGTGGGGTCCAAGTGCGCTTTGGTGAAGCGGTGCGAGGTGTCAGCGTTAGCCACGCGAGTCTCCCAGTGCAGTAGGGGGAGGGGGATGCGCGCGTGTGCGGTGCGTAGGATTCAGGTGACCTGTGGCGATACGCACACACCGGCCGACCTCCGCGCGCCTGGATCCCTTTAGTCGGCTAATGTTCTGAAACTGGCTGTGGTGTGCCGTGTTCTCAGACAGCACCGGCTGCGGATACATACCCAGGTCGGCGTACAGCCGGACGGTCCACATAGCCATGTATGTGGTGGGAGGTGAGTGTGTGGACGGCCGCCGCTCGTGCGCCGGGCCTCGGCTGGAAGTCGAACGGTCCACATAGCCTTTACGTGGTGGGAGGTGAGTGTGTGGACGCCGCCGCTCGTGAGCCGGGTCTCGGCTGGAGGTCGAACGGTCCACATAGCCTTGTATGTGGTGGGAGGTGAGTTGTGTGGACGGCCACCGCTCGTGAGCCGGGCCTCGGGCTGGAGTATGTCGCCAGCCATTCGGCTGTGTGTTGTTTCCAGGCATTTCTTTCATGTTCAGGTGTTAACATTTGTAAATTGTTTGCGATTTTTTCAGTTGCATTTTGTCGATATAATTGCGTCTATTGCTTGGTTGTATACATTGTCTATGGTGTATATATCGCTGGCATCTTGTGGCGTGGGATTAGTTAACTACACGCGCGTCTTTACATGGGTTGGGTCTTGGAAGGGGAGACAATCAAGTCCCCCTAGATCGCCAAAGTCGGACATACATTGCACATTCTGGACTACAAATGGTATCTGATTTATGTATTATGCACAAATTACTTAAATGTTTACCAAAGTGCTTCAAGTAACATATCATATTTATATTAGTATGCACAAATAACGTTTAAAATTTTACCAAAATACCTCAGGTAAATACAATGAAAGCCGACGTGTTTTTGAAAACAATGGCACCTTGGACCGAAATCCCTAAACGGCCGTTAGCCCCCGAGGTCGGATCCGCCCTCGCGTTTGTGCGCCGTTAACCCCACCCCGCGCGGCGCCAGTTGCGACAGTTGTTCTGGCTATCATACGTACCGGGGCGCTCAGGCGGTGTCTGACCAATCATCCGACAGTCGTGAGTTAAGGGACAAGCGCGGCATGCGAAAACGAGCGTGTACTGATGCACTTGTGCATTGCAGTAACTTGAAAGGAGTCTGGTATTTGGGCGTTTGGTGGTCTCGGCTTTGTCCGCGCTTACTCGGTGTAATATAGTATTTGTGCGTTTGCGGTCTCGGTTTTGTCCGCGCTTACTCGATGTAATCTAGTATTTGTGCGTTTTGCGGTCTCGGTTTTGTCCGCGCTTACTCGGTGTAATCTGGTTTTACGGGCGAGAGCAGTCGCTTATAACTCATTGCGCTTGAGCTCACCGGTACAGTGTCGACGGCTGTTTCGTGCGTCTCCAGCCGTGGCGCAGTGCAGCCGCCAACATGACGCCGAGTGTAGGCCGCAGATAACCCGCGGCGTCTCGCATTGACCTGGCGTGTCCGCGCGTGCGGGACGGCGGGCGGCCTGCTGTTGCCGACCTGGGCTCGCCTCGTCCGGCCGCTGTCTGTGGTCTGAGACGGGCGACCGGTGGATGGCGTTGGACCCGGCCCGGCTGCGGGTGCCTGACCGGACCCGGCCTGCCGTCAGGGATGCTGGTGTTCATCTGCATACCGCTGGTGATGGCGGCGGTCTCCTGCCTGCGGAACCGGCCGTGGCGGCGGCGGCCCCGGCCGCGCCAGCTTCAGCCTCCTGGTGGACTACCGCGAGTGACCTGACCTGACCCGGCCTGGGATGACCCTGCCCGGCCAGTCTGCGTCACTGCTGAACTGGAACGGTCGGATGACCTATCAAACGAATGTTGCACGAATATCTGAAAGCGGTCCAGTGAACTGACATTGCCTACCAAATTGGCATGGCCTCATGAACTCAAAGAGCCTAGTGAACTGGCATGACCCTCCAGGCTGACATGATCTGATGAGCTGAAGGGATCTAGTGAACTGTCACGCCCCGATGAGATTTGTCACGTGGTATGTGCCGCTCTGGTGAGGACCAAGAACGGCATGTCATGGAGTGATCTGACACGGCCGCCTACGATGAATTATATGTCAGGGCCTGAGGCAATCCCTTGCGACACGATCTGACCCTGACGCGATGTCAAGTCACTTGCGTCGATTAGCCGTGACAATACCTCCGTCACCGGCTTTCTCGCCCCCTGGACCGCTGAGGCCGAGCTGAGCAGGTGGCCCGAAGACGGCAGGCGGGCCGCCGCCACGCTGGCCTCGGTTCAGCGCGGCACTTCTCGTAACCAATGTCTTATCAGAGTGGTATGACCCGACCCGACCCGACCCGACCCGACCCGACCCGACCCGACCCGACCACGACCCGACCCGACCCGGCCCAACCCAACCAACCCAACCCAAACCCAACCCAACCCACCAACCCGACCCGACCCAACCCAACCCAACCCACCCGACCCGACCCGACCCGACCCGACCCGACCCGACCCGACCCGACCAGGCCGGGTCAGATCCGACCAGACCAGACCAGACCAGACCAGACCCGGGAGGGACACAGCCTGCCTGCTTATCCAACGTCAGGTGAAGGTTGCCATGTCCACGCCCGCTGCCGGCAGAGTGGCGTCGGTCCGACGACCCAGCTGGAGACGAGATCACCATGGCGGCTTTTATCCGCCCTTTAACAGTCGGTTCTCACCCTGTCCCGTGTGCGGGGGTGCGCCAGTCGAGTGGCGCCTGTGGGCTGGACCGCCCCCCCCCCCCCTGGGCGGACGAGGCCGACATCTGAGCTTATCTCTGCCGTGTGTTGGCATGGCACCAGCATCCAGCCACAGCTGTGCCAAACGGGCGAGGCTCAGTTGCGATCGGTAGCTTTGCGCCGCGGCCGCCTTAGGGATGCAGTGCACGAACCTCAGCTGCGGGGCGGGGGTGCCAGCCGTGCGGGCGGGTGGCGCCCGGACCTGGTTTTGCTAGTCCATTGTACGTGTTTTGTTGTGGCGGTTTTGCCAGTGATTTGCTCACGCGTGGCCGAGTGTAGTAACCGCTTCGGTTTTGTCCGCGAGTCCGTCTTCTCAGGGTCTGTGGGTCGGTCCGCGCGGCTAGCGTGCCGGGGCAGCCGGTTATCTGCTGCACCGCCTGAGAGGTTCGGTCAGCCGATACGCCGCTGGAGCCGGAGTCACGTGATCAGTCTCTTCTGCTCGCGCGGCTGTCGCGTGATCGACGGACGCCCGTGGGCGTTTTCGGAGGGATGGCTCGGCGTCAGGGCAGCCAGCGTGGTCTGACGCTGGGGCGTCATCAGATCAGGGGAGCCGGCGGCGCCGTGCGCAGGTGAAGCAGTGTCAGTGGCGCGCCGAGGATGCTACGCTGGCTCGTCGGCTGGGCGTGAAGTGTCGCGCGGGAGTAGAGAATCGGGTAGTGAGCTGTTGCGAGCCAGCTGTTTTCGGCTGTAGCTCAGGGGGAGGGAGGAGAACGAACCGCCATTTTGGTGTGGTAGTGGCGTCCGAGGGAAAGGGAGGAGAACGAACCATCGTTTTGGCGTGGAAGCGGTGTCCGAAGAGGAGTCTGCACGTTGCTGCGCACTTTGCCACCCGAATGCACTAATTATGATATATGTCGATATTCGTATGCGCCCTTTATGAATGCGAGCTATGGTAAGCTACACAATATAACATTCTCTCATCTGGTCTGGTTTTGTGGGAGTGTCACAGCAGTGTTAGTTGTTTCTCACACCCGCTGCGCCGTTTGGAGACCTCATACACATTTCACAGCCTCTCCCAGTTTTATGCGCAACATAGATTTGATAAATCGCAATAAATGGGCGACCGTCCCGCTGGCCTGGTAAAGACTGGAGCGCATGCGACCTTCCAATGGCTGATGACATTCTCTTGAAGCGCGGCACCCCATGCGTGTCAACTGACTGCGTAACTGAGTGGTCACTGGTCAAATTTAGTGGTCAAACTTAGTGGTCGTCGTAGGGCGGACCAAATGTTAGGTTTTTCAAATCATTCCACAAATAAATCCGAGTCATATATTAATATTTGTTTGTTGACTCATTGCCTTATATACTCAATTTGACGATCTTCAGATAATTCAGACCACAGCGTACATCTATATACGGTGCGTAACTAAGATATTACCGGTCGCGCCGTACGTTAGCAGTGCCTCCATTTGTCGATGGCTTGTTCTACTCAAAAAGGTCGGAGGTCAAGGCGGCGCGCGCACTCATCGTCATGCAAAATCGGCAATGAAAGGATGAATACCTCACGACGGCAGAAATCAATCGTGGGACGTGTTGCTGACGTCGTTGCTGGCACGTACCGAGGATACATGCGACAGTGAGTGGACAGTCCGGTGTGTACACCTGACACGAACCCTTTGTGCATGGAAAGAGATCTATCAGTCAGGAATGTGTGATCGACATGCAACTCTGCTCATGTATTTTCTTTGCGTCGGCACCCTCTGTCGGATAAAACCCAAACTAGAGAAGGTTTGACGTTAAGCAACTGTGTGTGTGTGTGTGCGCGTGCGTGCGTGCGCGCGTGTGTGTGCGTGCGTGCGTGCTTGCGTGTGTGCTGGGGCTACTCCGCCAGCCTTTACTTCATGCTGTTCAATCCTAGTAATGGCTCGATAGCGTTAAGGCTTAAAGGCAGGGCACCAATAGTCGATCATGACGGATCGTCTTTCGTTGTCCAATAGGCTCGGGCGGTGCCGTCAATGCCCCTGCGGTCGGGAATCCACAGGCGTATTACGTTATTGCCAGAGTTGTGAGGTCCTGATGAACATTAATAGTGTACGTGAGCCATGGCGACAGACATATCAAGAGGGAACTGTATTGCAAATCGGTAATCAAAACAAATGACAGTCTGAATCGATTTACTCTTCAAGAGCAATTGTTTGAAGTGGCATGGAGTTTAG